ACCCTGAGACGAAGAGGAGGAGGAACTTGAAGGCTAGTCCAAGCTAAAAAGAGCAAGCACATTTTTCATTCCTAGCATGCAGTGGAGTGCTCTGATTGCCAGATAGCAACTGTATGGGAAAATTCTCTGCTATCAATTTGTTTAAATTGTCTCTCTCATCTGGGAATAGGAGGCAGCATTCACATATGCAGCCAAATCAAAGAATGTAGGAGGATTCTGTGAATCCACTGATAATTTAGAAATATCCAGCTCCCAGTAACTAAACCAAACAAGCTCAGAAACTCCTAAAGGCACCATTAACAGCATTTTTTTTTTTTTTTGTCAGTATAATGAGCAGATCAATCTTATTTCCGCTGTGACTTTCTTTCCTTGCTGATGACAGCCGAGTGTTCCTGGAATGATGTCCCACACGTTTCCTCCCAAGGGTTTCCTTCCTATGAGCTCAGGTGCTGGGATCCCGACCCCTGTGGATGCTTCTCGAGACGAAGAGACAATTCCTGAGAGCAGGAATTGTTGCCCAGTGCAACACACTTCTGTGGTGAACGTGCACATTCTGCTAGACACAGAGCTCCGGCGGGGGGACGGGACATTGGAGCGAATCCCAACTTGCCTACAGGACCACGCTTAAAATGCTGTAATGCTTCCCCCCATAATGTCTGTTCACATTCAAAGGGAGCACATAACTGAGTTGCTCTCCATCTGGTTCCGCTGGCCACCTGAGGACCTGTTTTTTCAGTATTTCTCTGCTCTTCTGCAATGGCCTTTTAAACCTGTATATCGTTTATCCAATAGCTGATAATGTCCAAACAGAGCCCCATTATAGCAGGCATGTGACGCATTTTGGCAGCAAAACATGCTGTGGTTAGTAAATATGTTATAATTGAGTAGCATTACATGGAAATTCACTTGGATATTTACTAGAAATTCAAACTGGACCTAAAACAAATATCATTTTTCACATGAAATAGTCGAGGTAAGGGGTTTTTTTGTCTCTCTTTGATTTTCTTACATCTATGATTAAGGATTTGGATCCAAGTTCAGATCTAAATTTAAGTTGGAATCTAGAACTGAGACTTTGGATGTAGACTGATGACAAGAAAAGCAACTGCAAAGTCAAACCTTCGAGCCATGCAGATGTGGATACGTGTGCTTGTTCTGTCTTTCAGGACTTTCTTTCAAGATGTATTATTGATGGAAGACAAACAACTGAGAGTCTCGATATTGTCCCCCTTCTTTTGCTTCAGGAAAGGAACAGCACAGCAGCCACACGGAGGTCTACCAGTTGGCCATGGCCCAGGCTGTTGATGATCAGCCCAACCTAAGGCTGGGCTGATCCTTCCCAGGTATTTATTGAGCTACAGGTAGGAAAGGAAATCAGTGATTAAGGAAGCACCTTAGCAAACTTGTTTTCCTTCTGGTTGCTCTTTTGGGAAGCTTTGATTTCAGTACAGATCTCCCATAAGATGCAGGTTACATTTATGTTTAGCTTTAGGTTATATTTATTTTGGTCATATCCATGGTGCCTATGATTTCCCAGTATATTCAATTAACTACTTTTTTTTACCAACTTTAATATCAAAGTCATGTAAAAGAAATACTTAATATGTAATAATAGCATCCTTAAGGTTGGAAAGGGACCTTTAGAGATCAGCTAGTAATAATAAGTACAAATAACACGCAAGCCTTAGTGGCATGAGTGCATGGAAGGAGGACTCAAATGTTGTATAGGTAAAAACAAACAACAAAAAGCCTAATCTCGACATCCTATCTGCCAAAGTTAAACCCGCTTTCATATAAACGCTCCCTCTTTCCCCCTTTCCCGTTTTTCCCCCGCCAGGTGGCGCCGCGGCGCCTCGGGAGCCGCCGCGCGGGGGTAGCGCCAAGAAACGCGCGGAACGGGCGGAACGGCGGCGTTGCCCGGCGCGCGAGCCCGGCGCTCGCGCGGCAGCGGTTCCCTCGTTTCGCTGTGGCCTGGTGGCTTTTCCCTGCTCCGAGGCGTGCGAGCAAAGCTGCCCTTTCCAACATCAGCCTTGAGAAGACCTCGTGGGCTGTCCATGTTCATAAATACCCGTGTGTGCACGGGTGTTTATATGCGGAGTTCCTGCTTTTACCCGTGTGTGGTTGTGTTTCCCCTTGGCACTGGAGCAGCGACGTTCGTGTCGCTGGCCGCGTTGCAATCAGGGCTCCTTCACTCATCGCAGAGTTGACGCTCTCCGTATGTGCAAGTACTGCACGGAGCGCGCTCTTATTGTACGTACAGGGCTGGGGATGCCACTGTGGGAGCTCCTGAGCCTGATACGAAGGAAAAGCAGCAGAGGAAAATGTGGTGTTTGCAAACGCTGCCAGAGTGAGCAGCGGCACGTTGTAGCGTGCGAACTTTGTGTAAGCTGGGGTGACAAACGCGCCTGACGCGTGCCATCTGGCCAGGGCAAAGCCCCCAGATCTTTCCAGACAGCAAGCTTCAGTGAGCGTTTTATAAGGAAAAGCAGATACATGTTGCTACATACACTTCTCAGTCTCTTCTGCCTTTGGAACCTCATCCTTACAGACAGTAAAACCAGATTGTCATATTGTACAGTATGACAGGGCAGTAGTTCTGTTTGGCGGACATGTAGGAAAAGGTGTTATTTTCTTTACCTGAGTTTGACTCCCTTCCAGACAGCGAGAGAAATGAACCTCCCAAAGCAAAAGGTAGTTGAAGGGCTGCTAAATGTTTAAGAGCATTCCATAGAGGGTGACGTTGAAATACCCCATTATGCTTTGATTTTATAGTTAGGAGCTGTCACTGAGCCTCATTCTGGAGGTTTTACTGAAACCACTGCTTTTAAACACCGATGTCCAGAAGTTAATCAGCTAAAGTCCAGTCACGTTAAACACCTGAGGTCGCTGGCCTGCTTTTCAGCCATGAGTCTCCTTCCAGAGATGTGAAAAGGCAAAGATTTCATTTTAGGAGCTTTTGACCACTGATCACTAGGCCTGACCTATAGCAGCTGTGTTTGAATTATCTATTTGATTGGAGAAAAGAGCAGCTAAACCCCAATCGCAAACAGTTTTTAGGTTCAAGGAGTGGCTTTGATTCAGGAGCTGAACTTGTTAGGGAGGTACGTATTTCTCCAGGGCTGAACATTAGCAACATTTATCACAATCTATATATGAATTCTGTGGTTTTTTGCAGCAGTTTCTGAACAGCTTTCCTGGGAAACAGTTCTTTGCCCAGCTCTCATGGTTGGTTCTAAGCCTCCTCTTACCAATACTCCTGAGAATTTCTGGTTGATTTTGTGGCACAAAGTATTTAATTATGTGCTCTGCCAAGTGAACGCAAGGCCTCAAATTGGGTTTTAGCCTCCCTGGGCAACTGTTTGAGATGCTGTGGCAGAATGTGCGTGCATATTTTCTGCATGCCGGCTTCTGGCCTTGCATCCATCAAAGTAAATCTTTGGGAGTTCTGCTGAAGGCTTAGAGGGATCTTAAGTTATGTTATTGAGGTCACATTGTGACCCTGAAGCTGGCGGAAACCCAAAGCAAGAAGTTTGTGTGGGAAATTGGGGAGGGTATAAAATAGCGCTTGTCAATACTTTTTTAAAGGTGTTTAAAGCTAAGAGCTGAGAGTTCCTAGTCGCTGCGGGTGTTGCTTTACAGCCGGTTCTGTTTCACCAGAAGAGCATACTCTGTGTGTATGTGATATGTCCATAACTTGTGACATTGTCCTCCCTCAGATAATAACTAATGTTCCTTTTTCCTTTCCTTCCCAGATCCTCAAAAAGCTTCATGTTGGAAGAAGGAAGTTCAGCGGTAGGTTCTTTGTTTTTGTTTCTCCCTGTGAATTTAAACCTTTATTTCCTGTCTCTGCCAAGCAGAAGCGGCAGGGCTGCGGAGCACCAGGTAGCTGGGGTGGTTGCGCTGCGTGTTGCAGCGAGGCCAAAGTCAGGGCCGCGTCCTGGGGCGAGGATTCCTGCCGCATCCCTGCCTTGCCGGGCAGCACGGCCCTTCCCTGCCGCGCTGGGCCCAGCAGCACGGATGGGCCCCGGCCCGGCCGCGCCGCGCTCACCAACAGCTCTGACTTATACAGCCACGAACATCTGCAGCTGCAAATAAACAGTCCGGACTGGCTTTGCAAACGTACACAGGCTAAGACAAGAGCGGGAAAGGGGCTGGAAGGGAAAACCAGCGTTCACATCGTGAAGGCCGCATCCGTCCTGGGAGCAGCTTGGTGCGGCCCTGTCCAAATCGCGGGGACAGGGGCAGTTCCCCGTCACTGCTGGGCACTCTCTGCACTGCTCGGCATCGTCTGTGTGACAGGAAGGGCCAAAGAGCGTGGGCGTTTGGGGCACTTGGCTCTCGATCCCCAAGCACAGAGCTTGGCTCCAGCCTCTCCCTTTTCCTGGCAGCAAGCAGAATGGGAATCACCCATTCCCGGGAAGGGGAAGCACCATCTTGCCCAATTCCTTTCTGAATGAAGAAACAAAAGCCTCGCAATTCTCTCAAACTCCTCCAGTTCAGCAGGGAGGTCCCTGACATCGGAACCCGAAGGCGATGGCCATCCTGGTGGGAGCGGAGGCTGTGAGCTGCCGTGCACAGTGCCTGGGCCCTGGCTGTAATCTGGATAAACTGGGAATTACTGAGTGTGCCCGTGTCTTTGGCAGTAGAGGTGATGCAGTTTGCAAGCTCGTCCTGCTACATTAGTTACCCAACCTAAAATTCTATCAGGTGCTCAACACGCAAGAAGAGCTGTCTTAGGGATGCACGTTACTTATTTTTATCGCTTACAAGCAGCTTGCAATGTGTTTCATTTTCACTAAGTTATAGCAGCATTGAAAAGACAAAAATAACCCCCTGGTGAACTGATCACACGGTAGCTCCAAGCTGCACGTTTTGGCAGTGAAGAGGGAATTGGGCACCACAGAGCTGTGGCTGGTTTCAAATTCCTATCTAAATTACACCACTAATAGCAGAGAGATCTTTCTGTGTCATGTTGACCATCAAAGAGCCCTCGCACGGGACACAGTTTTGCCCCTTTATTTGAGTTTACAAAGCACATCGCCAGCGTTTTAGATGTTAACGAGATGTTGAGGCTAATAACAGAAATCAGCTATACTGAACAAGATTCGTAAACATGTGAATGGAATGTAATTATATGGCAGGCAGCTTTATGTTAAACAGTGCTTTAAATTAACATGCTTTCTGTCAAAGCAATCATACAGTCAGTATAATTAGGTTACTTTTGCTGCAAGATTAACTGAAACCGAGAAAAAAAGAAGGGTTGCATTCAGATTTCTTATTAGGAATGGGGGAGGGGAGATATTAATATTCCAGAAGGCTTTTTCATTGGAAGAATTTGGCTTCATGGTGAACTTTATGAGCAGACATTCCTAATTACAGTCCTTGTTAGCCCAATTTGTTATCTAGCTAGCTTGGAAGTCACAGCAGTGTTAAAATTATCCCTCCTCTTAATGTTTTCCAGACTTGATGAAGGGCAATCCAAACACGAGCTGGCTGCCATGCACAGGCCTTTTGCAGAGCGGTGCCAAGCTCACGAGGGAGCTCTTCAGCAGTGACGAGTTTTAACCGTGGACGCATCCTCACATACATTGCTCAAGAGATGAGAAATCTGCGTGCACAGAGGAACACAGTTCTCTTATTCATAGCAGTTGCGGAGTTATCATGTAAGAGGCAAATGTTTCATATTTTCCACCAGTTTTCCATATGCCTGGTGACCTAATGACTTCACCAGAAGCTGCAGTGCGTTGGAGAAAGGGTTTATCACAGCTGCATTTGTTTTCCTCTACTTCATGGCTTCAGCGTTCCCGGAGAGATTGTGTGGCCTGGAGGGGAAGCCTCACTTGCCTTTCCGCTTGTAGTCCAGGATGGCTATCGAGTCGCCTGTTCCGAGGAGAGGAGAACAGCTTGTGTTTAACAAGGCCCCTTGGAGAAGCCCTCTCCCAGACCAGGCTGCTGCAAGGGAGGAGGACACGGGCTAGTCCGGAGCCTGCCCGCATCCCTGGGATGCTGGATCTGCCGGGGGCAGGGAGGCAGCTACGAGTGCAGGGCCCGAGCCAGTTGCTCGTGCCCAAGGGCCGCTGAAGGTGCCCAGGACGTACCCAGCAGGCAGGAGGTTCTTGGGCTTCCAAAGAAGAGTTTGAAAGCTACCATGGACCAAATCCACCAAAAATTACGGTGCTTTGCTAGGGAGGGACAGTATCTGCCAACACCTGAGCCCAGCCTGAAGAATAGGGGAAAATCTTTAAAAAAAAAAAATCACCTCCAAAAACATAAGATGTTAACTCCTGCCCACTGCAGGTTGCAGAGGAGATACCCAAAGCATCCTCAGGGTGCCACAGGACCTACCCCAGGCATCTTCTTGGAGCGGCAGCAGAGATCAGAGAGATGCTGCCTTTGGCCCTGGAGGTGGCACTGGCCACACACGGTTAGGAACTCGCACCCTCTAAAACCCTCTTTTCTCCTGAGCATTGAGCCCCCTCAGGGTTCCCTCTTCTATAGCTGCTCTCCTTGCCTGTAGACCTCAGGGTCTCTGAAACTCTGAAAAACCCACTTGCATTTTATTTATTTTCCAGCCTACGCAGCATGTAGCAATTGACCCCATGTGGAACATGAGGCCTTGCAGTCCTTCCTCCCTAAATCATCCTGGAAATATTTTAGGCTGACAAGTACCAATAGGTATTTCAAAGACAGACACAGAAGAAGAAGACAAGCCTGTTATGCCAGGGCTAGCATGTTCACAAGCATCTGTTAATATGTTTGGCCTCCAGTGATGAAACTGGACGCTTGGGCTGCCAGAGCTGTTGATCATGACTCCCTCCAGTGGATCATCAGATAAGCTTGTCAGCAGCAGTAGGTCATGTAACAGATGATGCATATTTGCTTTAAATAGCTGGATTCCTCTACCCCAGTGGTAATCTGCAACTTGACTGACAAATAGGAAGGATATAAATATGCCATCACCAGTCTGGGGCACAAAGAGGATGAATGGATGAGGCAAAAGTAAACACGAATGTTTGGTTTGCACGCTTTGGCCTTTTAGATACAGTTTTCCTCCTGAAATTGAGTTCCATTCGTCACTGATAGTGAAATTGTAATAAACACTCCTACTTCACTGAAGAAATGTATAAAACTTGGGAATATTCTTAAAGGTACGATAGAACAAATGAAAGTATTTTCTAGATGTGAGGCTCTATTTATAATGGCCCAGGACACTAAAATGCAACAGGGCTGTGATAATCAAGAGTAGGACCTATGTCTAGATTGATAACTACCTGCACAACGTGAGCATTTTAATGTTCATTCAGAAACTGCCATTCGTAACTATGCCTGTGCAGACAGGGTGATAGACTGACTTTCTACCCCACAGAAATACCCCTTGCACTGATTGATTTGCCATTTGGGTTTCTGCAATCTCAACTCAATAAGTGATACCTAAAATGAAAGCATCGAGAATTTGATCTTATCATTTTACAGGTAATATGTTGTGGAGGAGCCTTTTGCTGGGACTGCTTAGGCCAACTTCCTTTTTGCCCCTGTTTTCCTCAAAAGATGCCCATGGAGGGTGGGCATGGGTTCCACTGCCCATGGAGGGTGTTTTGTTTGACCTCAGCAGACGCTCCCCTGGCTGTACAATTTTAATCATGATTTTGCCTGGTTTCCTTTAGTGAGCATCTAAGTTTCTGGCAGTGTTGTTGCTAGCTGTCGAGGCAACGAGGAGCAGATATAGCTCCTATTCACATACGTCTCAGAGCACTGAAATGAAGCAGCTGCTGAAAACATTTCAGGGCCACTAGATGAAAGGTAAATGAATCCCCTGGATCTTCGGGCAGTGGTGGCAGAGAAGAGACCTCACCCTAAATGTTGCACTTCCTACACTGGAGAACTTTGATCTGAATTTCTCCCGAGGATCTGCTTGCCTCACCAAGAAAAAAATCCCAAGGGAAACTCATTTGCTTTATTTTTGAGGGTTCCTTTTTGACAGATCAAAAATAAAAGGAGACCAGCTGTCTATGGGATGTTTCCTACCCATGAGGACTGAGAGAAGATCCCACGTGGTTCATCTTTGGTGCTAAGACCCTGCAGCCAAATTCTCAGCTGAGGTAAAATGATGGCAGTCAAGGAAGCAGCCCATTGTTTCCAGTTATCCTCTTTGGAGGTTCTGCATCACTCAGCATTGCCTCGTACTGTAGAAACTTTGGAATTTCAAGCAGACCAGAAAGACAGTGACTGTCGGTACGGTTTTCTGCGCCACTCGGCCTCTGCAGCTGGGTTGCCTTAGTTACCAGCCAGCGGGCAGGCAGAGGCAAGTGAGAAGTCATGCATTTTTAAAACCTCAAAGACTATATGGAGTAGTTTGTCTATAAATACTAAAACACATTGAGGGTCTGGCATCTCCGGGTTGCTCTCAAGAGGGAAAACAAGGTTATGTTATTAGGCAGCCCCGATTTGCAGCTCTCGGAAATGATGCCACATCTTTTTGCAAAGCACGGGATGTGTAGCTTTAAAAATTGCTCGTGCTAGCTGGCAGATGCCATGCATGGACTTTGGAATAATTTGGAGCTAAGGATACATTTATGGGTGGAAAAGAGGGTGGAAATTCACATGCCTGGTACTTTTCATTTTAGGAAAAAACGATAGTGGCCTGAAGCTATAGAGCAACAGGGAAGAGAGCCCTTATGTAGCAGAGCTGTGGGAAAAGCTTCATTTGAAGCCTGCAGTCAGTCCCAAGAGCCTGCCACAGGGAAAACTCAAAATAATGGTCCACGATGGTGCTGTGGGGTAGACGTTCAGCAGAGGTGAAGAACCTTCTCCTGCCACAGATCGTTTTGCTTTTCTTGCTCTTCTATAGGGGTATTTTAACTGTTTCAGTTTCTTTATTTCTATGGGAAGGAGAGACAGGAAAAGACTAGGACAAAAAAAATCACATGGAGCCATTTTGCTGCAAGAAAAAGGATATGTTGGAATCACATCCTCATCCAGTTTGCTGGCCGTGCACAGCAGAAGATTTGTCTCAGTCAGGAATATATTAAGGTTCTGGCTCACTATAATTTGGAAGAACTTCCCTCTGGGTTGTGTTTCAGCAATATTGGGATGTTTTCACTACCAGCTTTAGGAAGTCCTGCCTCTCTCTTGGGTGGACACAGCTGGGAAACTGGTGAGGAAAAATATTCAAGTTAAAAGCCAGCCTGCCTGTAAAACCCAAGAATGGGGGCAGGAACCCATGGAGATGTTACTGCTCTCCAAGTCCCCATGATATCAAACTGCAGCCTCTCGTGCTACAGAGCAGCCAGCTATTGGGATGGAGACTTCATGGAGACTTATCTGTGTACAGCAAATGTAGGCAATGTCCCCTGTCCTAGAGGTGAAGAGCTGAGAATACATGCAAAATTACCAGGGGGAATTTAAGATGAGTGCCCAGTGCTTGGGTGAAAACGCCAAGTCATGGTTAGGGCCATGATTTTGTGGCTGTTTTGTAAAATGTGAAGTGGGAATGGAAGGACAAACCCAGCACACACAGGGATCTCCACGGACCACTAAAGGACATTGAATGGAGGACATAAGGTGCGTAATTTACATGTAATCTTCACGGCTACATTTATACTATCACAACTGAGACTGCTTTTTAGCATTTCTGGGAATATAGAAATTTGGATGCTTGCCTAGTTTCTTAAAATCTCATTAATATCTCTTTCTTGGGTGAGCTTATTTAGTCAGCAGTTCAAAATGCAGCTCATTTTTGCAGTTAATTTGATCTCCATTTGGCAAAACCTTTAGTTCACTTGATTAACACCTTGAGAATCAAAATAGTTTTATGTTGATTACCTTCAGTTTTTGCATCAGGCATATTCTAGGCCCAGAATAACTAATACTTACTTGATGGAGAAAAAAACTCATACCTAGATTGTGTAAGATCTGATTTTTTCTTCTGGTGGTGATGACATGATAGCTAGTTATATATATGAAACAAAAGGTGTTATTAGTAGTATTTGCCTTTTTGGAGATGCCTCTTAAACCAGAGTTTGTGCAAAACACCTACAGGTCTCTTCAGCTACCAGCAGTCTTCATCGCATTTTGTATTTACACAAGATGAGAATATAGCCAAAATTTTCTATTATGGGTACGTAGAGCCAGCATCTTATTTGCGAAGGTATCAAGCCCTGATGCTGCTTATTCAGCACATTTGAAAGTCAATCTGCTCCTTTTAGCTAACAGAGCACACATGGTGAGAGACCAGCTCTAGACGCTCTGCTCTGGCTTGACAGGCATGTGAGACTTCACAGAGCCCATCAGGCATCACATGTTCCCCGGGAGCGGAGCGGGCTCGTCTTGCTTATTTTCAGAGGTGTTTTTTGCAGGGTTTTCCTTTTCAACAAAAATCTCATTTAAAAATTTGCAAATGTTCACACATTTGCCCTAAATAAAATACACGCTTCCTGGCAGGCACTTTCATGCTCCAAAACTTTATCTTGAATGAAAAAAAAAAAGAGAGAAGAAACCAGAAGAGGGGGAAAAAAGAAACAAACAAACAAACAAATTCACTCCCAAGCCTCAAGCTTCATTAGTTCTCTTTTCTTTTTCAACTGATGAATGTTTTCTTCTAAACTAGTCTTTCATATTTATTTATATATGTATATATAAAAGAGTGTGTGTGTGTATGTGTATATATATATATATACAAAAGAGTGTGTGTGTGTGTGTGTATATAGATATATTTGTATACATACTTGCTTATTTGTCATTTTCTTTAAATCTTTGCTGAATATATCACCCAAGAGGTAGAAGGGAGATGTTCTCAAAAGTGCTGTCTACTACCTAGCTATTGAGATGCTCTCACCTGGATATGTTGCCTTCTTATAAATTTTTAGTAAGCAGTAACATTTCTTAGTTCACTAAACACCGAGTTTTAGAACAGAACTGTGGACTATTGTTTGAGATGGAATTTAAAGCCCAATGATTATACTGGTAAGAGATGTTTCTCAAGCCATGCTGGAGAAAAATGACCCTTGATTTTTTTTCTAGGGTTGCTATTCTTGCTCTGATTTGCTTCTTGACACCCAAACACCCCGCAATGTGCAGTGGCCCTCCTTCCCCCTCGCCTTCCTACGCAATCACAGCAGTTAATTCGAGATCATTTCCCACCTGTGATTAGAAGGGAAAAGCAAGATGAAGAACTGACCCCATATCATGCGGTTGAGGAACTCTCCGAAGCTGTAGAAGCAGACGGTGATGGCAAAGCTACCAGCCAGGAAGGCTGCCAGCCCGGCGGGGCTGAACAGCGCAAAGAGCGGATATACCCACTCTCCCGTTGCCGCATAAATCCACAGCACCCTGGGCAAGGACAGAAAGTGCTTTCAGTTAGTACCAGTAAGGGAGAGGGAGCACTTTGTGGTCTTCAATTCCAGAAGGGCTGAGTTATCCGAACAGTCTCAATACAAAGAAAAGGAGCTCAGTAAGGTGTTTGGATTATTTGCCGTGAAGCACCCTGGAATCACTGCTGACCTGGATGCATTTCAGTGCAGGCTGGAATGTGCACGATGTTCTGCTGCCACCCCCCTGGCATGGATTATTACAGCTGTAAAACTGCAGTAATAAAAACAAGTGAAATGGTCAGAAATATGGATCTGTACTGGGCTGTACTGAGTATAGTATCTCGAGAGTATATACAGGATAGGGTCCCAATCCACATCCCGAGGGCTGGTGCAAAAAGAAGTGCTTTCTCTCAGTAGCATCTCTATCCTCTCACTGTTGACCAGTCCATGCATCATCTTAGAGAGTGGAAAAGTGGTCGGAGTGGAAAGGATTCAGGAGCTGAGAGGGCAAGGGAAATTTGCTTGCAACCTCACTCTTGGTCTAAAAGCAGAAAAAGAGGAGGAACAACTTCCAGGTAGGCAGCAGAGCTATAACTGCATTGCCTCTTCGTTTGAGAACCATCTGGAAAGCACCTTTGCTAAGAGGGAAAGAATAAACGAAAAAATGATAATTATGCCTACTTTGTAAGGCTTCTTTTCTGCTTAGCCCCTCCCTTTCGCCATTTTTTTTGCCTCTTAAAATGAATCTTGTCGTGGCTGGCAATTTTTTGGCATTATTTTCATGATTTATAGCTCATAAGAATGGCCTGCAGCAAATGCTTGGGTTAAGAATATAAAAATATTCTTTATCTATAAAATCTACAAGCAAATATAGTCTATAAATACATGCATTTGTATATACTTTTAATATAATAAGTGTTTTATATATGCTTATTTATTATCTTTCCCTCTCCTAGCAGCATTTACAAGGGAACACAACCTTAGTTTCTCTGAAGGGAGCCCTGCCTGCCCCTTCTAGTGCATGTCACGGCTCAGAAAGAGAAGTGACATTCAAGCTGCCCCCCAGGCAGGAAAAAATGTCACAAAATGGAGGGATCAGAGAGCACAAAGGAAAAATAATGGCTGAAAAGGTGAGCTCTTATTTTGCTGGTTAGAGAGGGAAAGGGTGTTGCTGAACTGCTGCAGAAGTTAGGGCAGCCTATCGATACCACGGAGAGGTGACATGTGGCAGGAGGCCATGGGAGGATTATTCTTTCCTCTGGTTGTTCGTGTGTCATTTCCAGTGTTAATGGGGGCTCTGGACTCACTGAAGGGAATGAAAGAAAATACCGAAGGAGTGGTTAAATGGGAAAATCCAAAAAGGAGAGAAGAAACTACGACGGCTATGTGAGCTCTCTGAAAGTGTGGTTAATTTGAAATTAAAAGGTTGCGAAATGAAAATGGGCATACAGTGAAAGAAAAATCTTGGTTCATGGCAGAGGTAGAATATGGACTCATTACAAGACAGCCATTAGTCATTTAGATTACAAGACAGCCATTTAGATTTAAATTGATATATTTTTTGAGTTTTAGTTTTGCAAAGATACAGTGGGTGAGCTATGTTGATTTTTATTCCCTTACAAAGGTAGTTTGATCTCTTCTCCAAAAGCACTTGTACAATTGTGATGATTAAGATATATTTTATCCTGATCTTTACTTTTAAATTGATTTTGCTACTGATACGGAAAAGGGTAAGCTCTTGTTACTTTCTTTTTAAGATTTAAAATGCCAATTTTAATATTTTATATCCTTCATAGTTTTCAATGTGATGACTCCCATACTACAGCATTACTTAGTGGAAACAGGAGGAGCTGTATCTCCCCTTGCAAGAATTAGCCAACAATCACAACAGTTTTGCTAGCCCTGATGTTCCGTGATTGAAAATACATTTCCTTTTTGAATGCTGCATATATCCAAAGCTGGAGTAAAGTCCCACTCGGAGGTAGGTAGATGGTGAAAAAGTCACCTTTTGTTCCATTTTTCCCTGCCTTGCAGCCAAAATTACTGCAAGGTGTCTATTAGAATTGACAAAATGACCTGGGAAGGCAATGTATTTCTCTCCCTTTCAGAAGCCACATCCGTATGTTGACTCTCACCGAGCAAGGAGGATTCCAGCCACGGCACTAGCAGTAGCTCCCATGGAATCACTAGGCACAAAGGACTTAGGGGAAAGCACGGCACACGTGGCTGCAGTAGTTGCCCTGAGGCTTGTCTGAGCTCCAAGGCAATAAAAGCCAAATGCTGCCGTAAGAGAAGCAAAATGAAGGTAGCATTAAGTACTGGAGTGAACCAGAGCACAGAAATGGAATTTAGGAAGCCATGATCCTAATCGTATTAGGCTCTGGACAGGATTAGGATAAATGGTTCCTAATTTGGTTATATAATGTAGTAGCAAAGTTCATTGTTTCCAAAGCCACTATTATAAGTTTCAAATCACAAGATTCCTTTATCTGTGTGATTTATTTTCTGTTCCGGGTTCTCATTCAGTGGAACTGAGGTACATAATGTTGGAGCGTATCTAGCTGAGAGTGAGAACTGGTGGCTAAGATGGGAAAATGAAACACCATGGTAGTCCCAGCTGCTTTGCATGAAAACAAATTTCTCCTCCGTTTATCAGTTATTCTGCATCTTCCACTCTAGGGTCTAGGTGCTTCCCGTGCCCAGTACAGCTCTGGGAAGTGTCTTATATCGCAGTGCACCCTGAAGCTATCCAGATCCATCCTGGAGCTGCTGTTCAGCATAATGCATAGCCAGAGTAGTTTGATGTGCTGGCAGCTGCCCGTGGTGGCTTCACGGAGGTCTCTGTGCCTCCTGCGGTGGGACACGGGCGCTGGAGCCTGCGCGCTACGAGCAGGAACAGATGCAAACCCAGCTCCCGTGGTCTGTCACACATGAAGGAGGTGGCCTGTGAACGGACCCAGCTAGATATTGTTTATTTGCTCAGAATCCCTGCACATGGAAAGTGGGATCAACAGGTAGGAGATGAATGATGGCCATATCACAAGAAACATAGGGGTTTCCGTCTGCAGCTGGAGGTGACCATGGAGCAGATGCTTCCTTGGTGCTCCAGTCCATGTGCACCTGGCTCTGAGTGTCACTTTCTAGCTCAGGTTTCTAAATCCACTCCCACTTCCCCAACAAGCATCAAGATAAGAACTATTCAAGTCTTACCAAGTGATATACAGAGACGAGGCAAATCCTACCAGGATGAGTCCCTTCTTCTTTGTTGGGTAACGATGTGGCGTGGCAAAGATTTCCAGGAAGGCGAAAGGCAATACGGTTGTGTGCTGAGGAGAGAAGAAAATCTGTCACAGGCTGGTAGCAGTGCTGCACGTGCACACATCGCTGCTCACAAAGCTCAAGAGCACACACGTGGGCAAAGAATTATTTAACAGTACTGTATGTAATGTCATACAAGTGCATGTGTCATTTTTCATAACGAAGAAATTTCCCTACGGTAACAACTTGTGGTGAAAGCTGGCCACAACCCAGGACCAGGCTGGCAGAGGAACTTCAGGAAGGTTTAACAAAGGTAAGAAAACGACTGCCAGAGGAGCTGGACTAGGTAAAAACTTCAGTTTCAAGCGCCTGTATGACCATAACTGCCTGAGCATGGGGGATTTTCAGCACAGGACAGAGAGGTTGCCCATGTGGTGGCATTAACTGTTTTGGGGCTGGGAAGCTGCTCCAGAAGGGATGCCGGTTCCTTCTGCATGGGGGAGAAGGTGGGAGCTTGGCGGAGCTCTGGGGCTTGGTACTAGGTGGACATGGGGAGCTCCTGGGATGCTGCAGAAACAGTTGAAAGTTTTGCAGTTTTCTGTGGGCAAGGAAGCCCTAGTTTTGAATTGCGATACCTAGGACAGAATTCCCAAGAGAAGACCTAACCAGCAACACAGCAAACACAGCAAACCAGCCAGAGATGCAAAGGCAGCCAACTATTGTAATAGTGATAGCCAACTATTCAGTTAAATTCCTGATAATTAAGCAAATGTTTTCACAGATAGATGGGGAGGGATGGGGCATGGGAGAAAGAAAGTTAGGGAAGGAAGGAAGGAAGGAAGGAAGGAAGGAAGGAAGGAAGGAAGGAAGGAAGGAAGGAAGGAAGAAAGGAAGGAAAGAAGGAAGGAA